ATGAGCCACGGGATAGGCAGAGATCAAAGGAATGGAGATTACCCAGCGCCTGTGAAGTAATTTACATCTTGGTGTCTTTAGGCACCATTATTGTAATGGAGCATGCAGGAAACGGCCCCCTACAGAAGGCAGAGAGGAGTCTCAAGAGAGATGCCATGTAGCTACCAGTAAGCCATTATCCAGTAAGCCAATACCATGGGGAAATATTTAGATTAATAGAAACGGGTTAATAGTTAATGGAAAGCTAGCCAATAAGAAGCCTGAGCCATCAGCCAAACAGTTTATAATTAATATAAGCCTTTATGTGTTTATTTGGGGCTAAATAGAGGAAGAGAAAGTTATGTCTTCATACATGTGTCCAAACACACACACACACACACACACACACACACACACACACACTTCACTACACAGAACTGATAGATTAGTAACATTCTGACAGCTGATTAGTGGTCCACTACAAACTAAAGCAATAAAACCCTGTTGTTGAAGACACAACAGGTCTTGGTCATAGACATAAAGCAATCAAGCTGGAACTAGGCTGAAAGTTTCCTCCATGCTAGGGAGTCCTCACAGAGCTTGAAGGGTCTCCACACATTGCTAGGAGACAATTGTCCTCACCAATCCTAGATGATATGTTCACTAATAATACTGAGAGTCTACCTGTGCAATAATGAATAATGCCACAATTGTAGGAGTAACCAACTATGTTCGGATGAGATTTGAAGCCTGCTGCAGAAGTAGAGTTCACATCTGGAACTGTAAACCCAGTCAAAAGCGGGTGGCTTGGGAAGTCCTGAAGAAGCTGCTGCTGTTGTCCTGCTAAGGAGGCACCATGTGCCTTCTAAATAACTATCTTTTTGCCCATAGATTAGCGCCACTGTTGGCTCTGGCCAGAGAAATGTCATTTAGCAGTTAAGAGTAGTGACTTCAGAGACAACTTGCAAAAGTGCTGAGAATAAATGGCTGTCGAAAGTCAGGCCATCACACCTCTTTCTCTCTCTCTCTCTCTCTCTCTCTCTCTCTCTCTCTCTCTCTCTCTCTCAGAGAACAACTCAGATGGAGCAGAAAGAATGTAAGAGTCTCAGGAAGGGATGGAGAGCAGTATGAAATGCAGCCATCCTGACAAGACTGTCACACTCCTGAGCTCACAGCAGGTGTGACTACAGAGCTGTACTCCATTGTACTAGGCCCCTCAACACCCTGTGATGGGAGGGAAGGGGCTCATGGTGCCCGTCCCTCCCTGAAGATGATAGTTACTTGATGGCTTGAGGAAGAGAGAGGAATATCCTTTAGTGGAGTACACTGGTAAGGCGTCCATGCTTCTGTAAGCAACCCTAATAAAAGTCACTGAAACCCATGCAAAAAGCACATGAAAGCAGATGAGAGGCTGTTAGGGGAGGGTAAGAAATTAGTCAGAAAGATGCAGGAATGAGAGGGGGTAATGGAGACTCAAATATTATCAGAATATATTACATATATGTATGAAAGTGTCACATATTAATACATGCTAATAAAGTCATTTGAAAACACTTTTCACTATTTCTAAGAGGTAAATTATGTTTTCATAAACTAAGTTTGAAATTACTCTGAAAAGTTTTCCTTCCTTCTTAATAGCCAAGTACCTTTTTAAAAATAATCATTACTTTGCTTACTATCATAACTGTCTCAGAGACTCCTGGGAGTACAGAGACTCCTGGGGGCAATGACAGCAATGAGATCACTTTTAATCTTTTATCAAATAGTTAATTTAAAAGCTGAGCAAGAAGGACACTATGTTTACACTAAAACACTTCAGAGAAAGGCCTATGTTGAGAAACCATCAGCATTAAATGCCATGAATTCAGAATGGGAGACTAAAAGGCCATAGTCTCATGGAATTGCCTCAATTTTGAATTTATTTACCGTATATATGAATGCACTATGGTAAAATGATATATGAAGATATATATTTATTTTACTATTTCCCATGGTTTCTTTCAATAAATGCAAAACAGAAACTCAGGTATTTCCCGGGAAACAAAAGGATCCAAGGACACAGAAAAATGGGAGGAGTCTTGGAATTGGAAGGAACACTACAGTGATTTTCAAATGTTCCTCCCTCGAGGAAGCTTCTGGGACAGCACACAACTTTTTGCACGTGTACATTCATATGGGTAGGAATGTGCCTTTGTGCAGGGCTCAGTATGTGTACATGTCTACACACATACACTATGTGTGGGGGTGTGCGCCTGGGTGCACCATCGGTGTGTGAGGGGAGACAGAACAAGGAGAGCCCAACCTCCCTTCAATCAGGAAAAAAATATCATCTTACTTGTGGATATTTTATGATGTCATTTGATGTTTGAAATTGTTTAGGAACACAGAGAGACTAGTTAGGAAGAGAAACACCAGTAGTTAGGAGGGGAAGGGGGAGAGAAGGGCAGGGGTGAAGAGTCAAAGAAAAGTATGAAGACAATCCTGTAAGAGAGCTCATTACTTTGGATACTATTTCTGAAAATCTAACAAAACTTGTTTAGCAATCCCTTTCTGAGCTCTTTCACTTTCATATTAAAACCCCATCCCACGTTCTCTTACAATTCCCCCTTTTCTGTTCATCCCTTGTCTCACTTGTTCTGCTGTCACTCATTCAGATACCAGAGAGACATTTTAATAAATGTGAAGTTCAAACCCAAGATAGCTGTTAGTAAACACAAGCTTCCATGTGTTTACAAGCAGGCCCCGAGAGGAGTGAGGGAAGGAGGGAGGAAGGGAGGGAGGGAGCGTGACAGAATGATAAATAGAAATTATTGGGGTGAAGAAAAATAGTTCAGAGATAGACAGGAATCGCTGTTTTACATAAGAGTGATACTTGGGTAGAGGCAGAATCAGTGGACTGAAGAGTGCTCTGACAGAGAAGGCAGTAGACTCCAAACCTGTGCAGAATCCCTTTGTGTGGAGACCGGAGCAGCAGAAAAGACAAAAGTGGCCTATAGACAAAAACTAGTATTTGGGCCAGGTCTGAATGGAGTTTTTATTTGGCTTGGGGTGTGTGTGTGTGTGTGTGTGTGTGTGTGTGTGTGTGTGTGTTTTGAGACAGGGTCTCATGTAGCCCCAAACTGGCCTCCAATGTATTCTGTAACTGAAGATACCGGATGACCTTGAACTCCTGATCCCTTGTCTTCACCTCCCAAGTGCTAGAGTCATGAGCTATAACTCTGTGCTCAGCCTGGAGTGGATGGAGTATTTGATGTGTCTTGTTGGCAAGGTCATCTACATGAGTATCTGTCTGTCTGTCTGTCTACCTATTCATCCATCTATCTGAATATGTGTCTGTCTGTCTGAGTCTCTGTCTGTATCTGTGTCTCTCTCTGCCATCTGTCTGTCTGTCCCTTCCACATGGTAGAACACCCCTCAGCCTGGCTGCTGTTACAGTTACTGCAATTGTTCTGTTTTCGTTGGATTTGCTTTGCTTTGCTTTTGCTATCAATGTTCAGGACTTCCAACTCCAAAAATCTGCTGATACAGTATGCCTGCAGAGAACTCATACAGTGGTTTACTTCCTCTGACTCTCCAGCTTACTCTACTACGTGTTCTTTGGTAAGAGCTTTTGTGCCTAACACAGCCTGCAATAGTTGCATAAATGCAATACATCTGACTCTAGAATGCATTTCTTCAGTATTTAGAAAAGAATGCCCCCCGGTAAGGAAAAAGACAAAAGATTTTAGGATGCATCGGGAGAAAGTGTATTACAGACACTCAGCTTGACCTAGATTAACCGGAGAAAAATTGGGTGGAAGAAAACACTTCTGGTGGATTCCTCTAAGTGCATTTGCAGGGGAAGGTAGGAGAGGCTGTTTCTGAGATCTCAGAGCCTAGGGGCAAGACTGAGAACAGTTTCAATGTATCAGACCAATTAAAAGCGTGTTTTAATTCAACCTGACCTACATCAACCTTCAGCAACAGTTGGGTATTACTCACTGGTGAAGGATGTAGCTGAAATGGCAGAGTTCATGAGGACAGACATTTTACACTCAGAACTAGGAAGCAAGACTTAGGTGAGCAGATGGAGAAACACCAGACCATTCCTGCTTCTCTAGCGCCATCACGTGGCTAACAGCCACACCTTGCACACTCTCACAAACCTCGGAGTTCACACATGGAAAGGGGCCTGGTGACACATTCCTCTTCTGTTGAACTTATACATCTACCACACAAGAGCTTTTGACAGCAGTGTCTATCCTTACCCAGTAACACCTCCCCCAGCAACCGGGAGCAGGCAAACTCTCAGGAAAATGACAACACGTCTGCCGTCTAATATTTTTGTAGAAAACTTCGTTTTATGAAGAGAGACAAACTATTTTAAAAGAGCAGCAAGAAACTGCTTTAAAAAGAAAAAGTACCCACATAAAAGCAAACACTTCCTCCATAACAGCCAGAAACCACAGCTGGTTAACTGATGTTTGAATGAATTCAAATAAAAGTTAGGGTACAGCTAGGCAACCCTGGGACTTTACAGAAGAAATGACAAGATGACACATACGCAGAATTACTCTTTCTTAAATGAATTACAGTTAAAGAAAAAGTATTACAGCTCCTCTTTTCTGGGTTATCTGAAAAGTCTAAGAAGCAAGGAAAACATTCGGTTTTCAATTTCATCCAGATAGTAACTTGCCTGGCAATGCGTGACTGTGCCCACATGAGATGCTGTGTGTCTGTACCTCTGTGTGTGAGGTGTGTGTGCAGGTGTGCACATTTTTTTTATGCACATGTGTAGACCAGATGTCAATGTTGGTGTCTTCTACCACCTTGTTTGAGGGGGAGAGGCGGAGGCAGGGTCTTTTACTGAAGATGGAGTTGAAGCCCCTGAGTGTTCCCATCTCTACTTCCCAGTGCTGGGATTGGGACTAAGACTTGTCACACCCATGGATGCTGAGGATCCAAACTCAGGATTTCATGCACACTTGGCAAGCACTTCACCCACGGAGCCTCTCAACCACTTGAACTAAACTCCCTGACATGAGCTCTTTTAAGTGTATCCCACAAAATTTTTTTGTGCAGCCAAGTTTAAGGACCATGGAAGCAGAAGCTTGTGATGAGTCCACAATTAAAATCTCTGCTGGCCCACAGTTCTCCTCTTCTCTCCTCTCATAATGACTTGTCACTGTCTTTGGCTGCTGTTTTCCCTTCAAGAGTCTACCCTCTTACAGTTTATTTTCACCAGATTTCCATGATCCTTGGAAAGCAGTCATGGAGTACAAAGCAGTTGGCCATTAGATTGTGGATCTGTGGGCCAACACACTGTGAGATGTGTACAGTATCATAGTGCCGTCCAAAATTTTATCCTTAACACTTAACATGCCCGGGGCATGGCAAGCACTCAACGGTGGGTTTGGAAATGGCTCCATGGGTAGAGTGCTTGTCGTATAAGTCTGAGAACCAGAGGTCAGATCCTCAACACCCATGTAAATAATTGTTGGCCCGCCCATGGGAGGCAAAGATAGTGAATTCCCTAAGGCAGACTGGCTAGCTAGAGAAGCAAATTGTGGAGCTATGAATCCAAGTGAGAAACCCTGCCACAGTACATAAGACAGAGAAGAATGAAGGAAAACAGTGACATCAGCTTCTGGCCTACACAGACACACACACACACACACACACACACACACACACACACACACACACATGTGCACCACAAAAAGTGTGCATATACATGCACACACATACACCTAAATGTGTAACCATACAAATTTGCCCCATATATGTGAAAATGCACACACATATATGCATAAATTACAAACAAAGAAGAAAGAAAATATTCAACAACAACAACAACAAAAATCTAGCCATGGTGCCATGAGCCTGTGATTCTAGCACTCAGGTGGAAGACATGAGGACGAAGAGTTCAAGTCACCCTCATCTATACAACAACTCAGAGAACAGCCTGGGCTACAGGAGACCTTGTCCCAAAAGGGAAAGGGGGAGTAAAGAAAGAAATGAAGAAAGAAGAAAATAATTTTTTGTTTTTATTTTTTATACAAGATATTTTGATCATGGTTTTCCCCTCCTCCAACTCCTCCAAGAATCTTTCTGACTCCATACCCAGCCAACTTCATGTTTTGTCTCTAAAAAGAAACAAGCATACAAAAAAACAAAAGGAAGGAAGGAAGGAAGGAAGGAAGGAAGGAAGGAAGGAAGAAAAATCAAACAGAAAAACCAATGAGCAAAAAAAAAAAAATGCCAAATGAAAACCTCACCAAAACCTACGGAGTTTCTTTTACATTGGCTAACTATTCCTGGTCAAGTGTGGCACTCCACTGAAGAAAACTGATTTTTTTTTCCATTGCAAATAGCATCAGAAGAGACTAAGAAGTGGACAGAGGTCCCATACCTAACCAAAAATAGTGAATGTTAAATAATCCCTTTAGCTGACATTCCATTAACTGTCTATAAACACTGCAAATACACTTTGGGAAGGTAGAGAAGACAGACGTGGGTGGTGGCAGGAGTGAGCTCTGAGCCAGCGAGTGTTTACAATGACCAGTATTTTAAACCCACAAAGAAAGAACAGCACGGCCATGTTACCTGATATCCCAAGATCACAGACTGCTAAATTGATAGTCATTATCTCAGCAGGTCTCAGTTTCTTCTTGCGTCTAGAAGACATATAAAGGACATACCCATTTCCAAATGTAGACAGAATCCCTACGAAGAAAAATAAAATGTCCCGTGATTGGAATGAGGATTGGCAGTCACTTGCATATGAAACACTTCTCAATTTCAAAAATGGACACCACAGATTCAGAGGGTAACGAGAGGCCACTAAGTAACCATCTAAATTAAGAAGATGAAATAAAAAAGCATGAATTGTGAGGGACAGGCAAGGGATGGATTGCCTCGAAAGGAATAGGAGTCAGGGATTACAGGACTGAACTTACCCAGACAATGGAACCGCTAACTTCCGGGTTAGGCTCGGGAAGAGGCGGGAATCCCAATGGTCAGTTCGTGTACTGGCCCCCAGAGTGCTTTCCTCAGCCATGTTTACAAAGTATTGGCTTTATAAGACTCCCTCCCTTGGATAAGTGGGATCAGCCCCTTATTAACTATGTGTAAGTCCTGGAGGTAAAGCCAGCCAAGCAGGGTGACTTCAGTGCCACTGTGGGCTCCCATAGGAGCACCAGAGTGCGGGAAAGTTGTGGTCAAAGGTATCTGTTGTGACCCCTTGCAAGGAAGGGGTCGTCTCCTGGACATGAGCCCCAGGACCTAGACTCCTGAGGCTTGTGGACCCTCAGTATCTGGAAGACAGGATGCCTTCAGCTACCACTGGATCTATGTGTCAAGGGTAAGTGTGTAACAACTGATAGCATGGGCACTCCCCCTCCCACCAAGGGGAGAGAAAGTGACCCTCAACCCACCAGACCTAACAACAATGATATACATGTGTTCCCAAGTTTGAATACTCTTTTATTAATAACAAGTTGGTTTGGGTATTACAATGAAACTGTTCAAAAGTTCTTACAAACCCAGTTAAAATCCAAAAAAAAAAAAAAAGACCCATTATCTACTGACTGTATTTAAGAAAAGAATACACCTACTTCCATAGCTTAACATGTAGAGTAGATTTCCTCAGGAATTCTTGCTTCATAGTGTAGCTGTGTATAAATGAGAATCTGGTACAGCTGCCTTCAGTAGTAAGGAATAAGGAAAGCATTAAAGGAGAGACCCAGAGTTGGCTAGTTTAATCTCTATTTTAATTTCTCCACCACAATTCATTTGGGGGGACAAGGAAAAAATGTGTGTCTCTGTTGATGGTACGAAACCACCAGGACCTGACTGCATTGTGCTCCTAGGAGATGCTGACTGTCTGGAGTGAAAGATGCTTAATGGCCCATGAAAGCCTCTTTAGCTTTCTTAAAGCAAAGGGGGAGGAAAAATGAAGGAACTGGACAGTCCTAAGGCAAAGTGGATAAAAGGCAACTGCTGTCTCCTAATAAGAAACCATCTAGCAAGGCACACTGGGAAAGGAAAGTGCAAAAATGCAGCTCAAAAATAATACAAACAAATTCCATCCATGTCACATCCAAAAAGAGTAAAAGGTTTGCCTGACACCCTTTTGCCTACCAGCAACTCTTGAGACTATCTCTTACTTCCGTTTCCTGGCATTTTTAATAACCTTACTTCATAGGGTTTCACCCAGTGCCCATCAAAAATTTAAAAAATAATGAGTTCTATTAAATGCCATGTCCCATTGTTTCCACAAGCAACCTTGTCTGCAGATGAGCTTTAAGGAAAACCAGATATATTTTTAACACTAAGGAAAACAAGATTAAAATGATTGCAACTATGGGGCAGAGTTTTTTGTTTGTTTGTTTTGTTTTGTTTTTTGATCATCAAAATCCTGTATTTTTTTCGAATAGAAAGGATGCAAAGCTTTCCCCTCTAGGCAGTTAATCAAGCAGGTGTTGATGTGGAAAAGTGGAGAGTGGAAAATGGGTCTCACATCTATTTCTCTTGCATGCCAAACCTGGAATTCTATTTTCATTCTTCAGTTTCCGCTAAAATTTCTAGTATTTAACAAGAATGTTGTTCTAACCATTCTGGCTCCTTAAAAAGGACCTAGACACGCCACAGCCAGAAATGGGGTGAAGCCCACAACATGGGTCTCCAAAGAGTCCACGGCCCTCCATCCTCTCCTAACCTCGCCTTCTTCCCTCATCCCAAATGGTTGTCTGTGACTTCAGCCTCTCCCTGATTCATCTGACACACCCTTTGCTTGGGGAACTCTTTTTACAGCACCTAATTTCTAAGCTCCACTCCCCGACTTAAATCTGACTTTGATCCCCTTGAGCCCAACATGCATAAAGTGAGAACTTCTCTCTTTTCCCCACTGACACTGCTAGGAAGGAATGGGCTAATAGTCCTCCCATGGTTGCATTGCCCAGAGCCATCGATGTGGCTAAAGATGCTATTTTCAAATCATCCCTTGCAACTGACTGAGATAAATTAAATTCAATTTATGAAATGCTTGCTTGTCTGCCTTTTCCGATCTTTTTAGACTTGATGTGGAGCTTACTCTGAGGCTTTTCATTACTGCTTTATTCCCAGACACTTATGAGTAGCAAAGAGTGGGTACTTCATATATTTGTGTTGGAAAGGACAAATTTAAATTAAACGAAAAGTAGTCAAATGCTCACAGTAAGTACAAGGAACCTTGAGAATTATTTTTGCAACAGAGCATGTTTTTTAAACTCATGAATTCTTTCTGCCTCAAGCACTGACCATAGAGGGATCTTGAGAACTCTCTAATGAGTTTTTCTAATTTCAGGAATTACATGAAATTCTTCGCCAGTCAGACAGATGAGAGAGGGCAAGGGAGAGAAGAGGGGAGGGCGGGTAAGTGGAAGGAACAAAGAAAGGAGAGAGAAAGAAAGAGAGGTTGAGAAACCAGGCTTGAACCAACATCTGAAAATATTAAAGATATATAAACCTAAAGATGGAAGCCACATGCTAACCACACACCCAAACTTAATATAGCAACTTTAAATTAAATAAATGTTGCAAATATTTATTTTAAAAGCAGGGTACCACTATGTAGCTCTGGCTGGCCTGGAACTCTTCTATGTAGACCAGATTGGCCTTGAACTCATAGAGATCTGCCTGCCTATGCTTTCCAAATGCTGGGGTTAAAGACATGTGCCATCATGCCCAGCCAAATGTTATAAATCTTGGTTGTGTGTATTAATGAAATCCAATAGAAATATAATATAAACCAGAAATATGAGCTACAAATACACTTTAATATTTTCTGGTAGCCACACTAAGCAACATAAAAGCACATAAGTAAATTAGTTTAACAATTCAATGCTTAATCAATTCCAGAAATTATGAGTTCAACAGGCATTTTGTATTTCAAATTCTTAATGAGATATTTTACGTTACTTTCCCAGTACTAAGCCTCCAATAGGAGGCATGCATTTTCACTACAATATGATCAACAGAAGGATAGCAATTTATGTGCCCAGGAGCCATGGGTGGCTGCTGGATTGGATAATACAGTCTTACATAGACAGATGCGACCCTGTGTGAATTATACACAAAAATATTTTCTCCCTAGGTTTGTTTTCATTGATCACCGATGTAATTTCTATCTTAGCAGTATGGATAAGGTACAACTTCTAAGTCAGTGTCTACTGTCACTGTCGTACTGGGCCACAGCTTCCTGGGTCATGAGAAGAGGAGGCTGAAGTGTACAGCCAACAAATGGTCTAAGAGCCATTCTTTTAGGATGGAAATATATTCATTATCAATCTTTTGATATTCAAAAAGCAAACTTACTAGTGAAGTGACAAAAATGAAATAATGTCTAGATAAAGAATTCCCTATGAAAGTTCTTTGGATTATCAGTGGAATATTTATCTCTGATGAGTGTAGCTGTTGGTTTTATGAAACATTGATTGACTGTCATAATGCTAACCGCCTTCCCCATGTCCACTAATACCCATGTAAGTACCAGAATCGTTTTGCAAAATCAACACAGCCTGTGACTTCTCTCAATGCAGCTTGTGACACAGAAGCATTAAGGAAGCTTACCGATTATTGTTAGGTAAAAGCCAGCCACTAAATCCGCTTCCCGGGAAAGTTTGGAAGCAAAGGGGTCCTCATCTCGAAGATAGTGTGGCAGGTGCTCGTCCTGAGGCAGGGCAGTGTGGTTCAAGGCCATGCTGTTCTCACACCACCAGGGGTCTGGAAAGCAAATCAGCAGATATCTCAACAGACAGAATAATAAGTCCCTTTGGATCCGCTCACAGAAGCTCTGCTTTCTGTAAAACAAAAGGCACACTCCTCCCAGGCCTGTGGGTGATTAGGACCTAGGGAGAAAAAAGGCTCAGCGCTTTTCTTAAATGACGTAAATACTCAGTTGTTCAATTTGCAGTCTGGGCAAGCCTGCATCTTCTCCTCAGGCTTCCTCTGAGCCTTTTCACACCTCCTCCAGTGAATAAGAGGCCGAAGACTAGTTGGTCCTATCGCTCCTTAGCAAACTTTGTGAAGGACTGAACTAAGATTACTGTGTGAAATGAAGGCTCTGCAGACACTCTTTGATTTGTCAAGAATACAGTGTCCTGTGATAGCCCAATCCTCTCCATTCCCTACATGCTTGGTGAGCTGTAGCATTCTGCGATGGGGAGAAACAGCATTCATTGCAAAGGGACATGGGTACTTCACAAAATAAGCTAAGAAGTCAGAGATGAACTGGGTTAACCAAAAAGTTGAGGCTGTTCATGAATGGTGGAGGGTGCACCAGCCTCCATCCACAGCTAAGCAGCTATTGACAGTTGATGGCTGCTAAAGGAAGAAGAGTCGGTTTTCTTTGGGGACAAGGCCTCTTGTAGGTTAACCATGGTCCAGTAGATGGCCCTGTTCCCCAGTGTGTATGGGCAACACAAATGAGACTCAGTGTGTTATTAAAAAAAAAAATGAAATTAAGAGGTGGGGGTGATCTGTGAGGAGTTGAAGTGGAATTGAAGGAATTGCATATGTATATGAAATTCTCAAAAAATAAATGTTAAGCTGGGCGTTGGTGGCGCAGGCCTTTAATCCCAGCACTCGGGAGGCAGAGAAAGGCGGATCTCTGTGAGTTCGGGGTCAGCCTGGTCTACAGAGCGAGTGCCAGGATAGGATCCAAAGCCACAGTGAAACCCTGTCTCGAAAAAAACAAAATATAAATAAATAAATAAATAAATAAATAAATAAATAAATGTTTAAAACATATATGTTTTTTAAAAAACTAAGGGCTGGAGAGCTGGCTCAGTGGTTAAGTAATAGCACACAGTGGTTAAGAGCACATAGATTGGATAGTTCAGTGTCACCTGTTTCTTGGCTCCAAAAGGCTCTGGTACTTCTGAACATAGGCATTGGTACTTGCCACACACACTAACACACATACAAACACACAGTCACACACATGCACTCCCACAGAGACAGATACACAGTCACTAACACACATACACACACACACAAAGACATACTCATGTACCCACATACATAGACACATACACACACTCACACACAGAGAAACACATACATAGACACATACACACTCTCACACACAGAGAAACACATACATATGCTTACATACACTCACATATATTTTCACATGATCACACACTTAAAAAGGAAATAAATCTTAGGAAAAATGAGGCTATTTAGAAAAGATTTGGATCTTGATTAAGGCATACAAAATTCAGCCTTAGGCAGGTTTAGATTTTTCCTAAAACAAAGAACAATCTATTCCAGTCACCCTCCAAAACACATAGAATTTTATGCCATTTGTTTTGAATTTTGATTTTGAGAGGAAAAAAAAAACTGTAAATTGCACTCTGTAAAAACTCAAGTCCCACTCTACCCCTCCCTGGTAACAAAAGAGTCAAGTCGGTACTTCTGGGAAGTGACACACACTGCTGAGATAAATGGCACCCAGTGGACAGTTGTTACTTCTTGGTTTCTAGAGAGGAGAACTGTTACTTCCCACATCTCGCTTCAGAGCTAGCTTGTTTCAAACTTAACCAGCAGGTGTCACCACCCCACCCTCTGAGACATTCGAAGTATCAGAAGTTGAAGGCCTCAGAGAGGGTGACCAGCAATCAGCAGATGTCACAGAGAACTGGCATGTGACAGACACTACTGCAGGTTGAGGACACCCTGATTAATTTGTTCCCATCCTCCCCAGTAGCTACAAAGTGCTGTACTGGAAACCCTGGCTGCCAGGCCCACTCCATCTCCAGCCCTGCCCAAGCCACGGGTTTTCTTTTTCTCTGCGAAGATCCTGATTGCCCTCATTCTGGAGAAGTCTTTCACGGCAAACTCCTCAAGTCCTCTAGCTGTGTAGTCCCTTAGATTCAGAAATACAAGATGGGGGCTGTCAGATTTGGCACCCACCCTCAGATCTTAGGCAGATCCTTAAACTCTGATCGGAGGCAACTTCTAGAAAATCACATCTGACTGATCTCTCGCGCTCATTATCGAGGAGACAGTAGATTTCTCTTCTGTTTTCCATTTTCCCCGTGTGGGTGATTGTCATGGTTACACGTGCTTGTTTGCTTGTGTGGTAGAATGTGTGGGGCATGCACATGGAGACCCGAGACTGGTGCTGCTGTCAATCAAACCCAAAGCTTGCAGATATTACCAGTAGCTCTGATCCCCGGCTCTGCTTCCAGAGGCTGCAGCTAGGCCATGGCCACCTGACATTTTCTGGGTGTTTCTGAATATGCAAACTCTGGTCCTCACACGTGCAGGGTATGTAATTTAACTGCTGAGTCATCTCCTCAGCCCCAACCCAGTGAATCTGCAAACAAATTGTAAGCTTAGACGCAAGAAGCCCTATCTAACTTTTATACGCCAGGGTACAAACTTTTCCAAAACTACAATTTCTAATTATTCATATTAGCATAAGGCTTTAAGCAATATAATATACCCCACTGCTCCCACTGTCTAGTCAGTAATTCCTTGACCATAAATAAAGCTACCTACGGCTTTATTATAACAGTTCACACACAAAATTAAAAAGCCAAAATCACCCCCCACTGCTAATCATGCATGCAAGTTTCAAATAGCTCTTGGAGTCTTACAATAAATGTGACAGCATAGATATATCTTCTATCCTCCATGGATCCATATTAAAAACTAAGTGATAACTTGAGGCGCAACTAGGCCTAAGTCTTCATGTCTGAGTAGGGCTTATAAAAAGGTTTGGTGACAGTTATGGAAAAGTAAATTTTATAAGGTCACACACAAAGAGAAAAGTATGCATTAGTATGGAGAGAAAGAGCCTGACCTGCACAACTTTACTGATGCACAAATTACCTTCAAAATATAAAAATATTACATGAAAACTTTTACCTCTGGCTCCCTAATTCCTTGTAGTTTAAAATAAGAAATAACAAAATCCTAGGTAGTTTGGATAACTGCACATGCACTCTGTGTGCAATTTTCCTGACTAGAAGGTCTTGTTCCTGGCCTGTTCTGGCTCCATGAACTTTTGGCTCTGTGTGCATGTATCTGTGTGTGTATCCCATGTATATGTCTCTATGTGTGAGACTGTGTGTGTCCGTGTGTGTGTCTATATGTGAGTGCACCTCTGTGAGTGTGAGTGCATGCATGTATGAGTGTGTGTGTGTGTGTGTGTGTGTGTGTGTGTGTGTGTGTGTGTGTGTTGACAAAAGTTCTTTCTGGTGATAAATTCTCTGAGAACATGAGATTCAATCCATCAGCACCTGTGAAAATTTTACCATAAGGAGTCTGTGAAGCTAATGACAGAGACCTACCAATGGGAAAAGAGGTACAATACAGGTTATAACAGTCATAGAAGAGGGAACTATAAAAAAAAATGCTATATAAGTCTAAACAAAGAAGCCTGTCAAAGAAAGGTGAACTGTAAACCCTGAAATACTCAAGTCTAGGGGTAGAATCTGCTTAGTGGCAAGCCTGATTCAGCTATCACGTCGATGGTTTGCACAGGTCTTTATCAATCAAGACTACATTTCCTATTATCTTAACAACAACAAAAAAAAATCAAGTTCATCACATAAACTCCAAAAATTCAAGCCCAGCTTAGCAGGTCAGAAACAATCGCCTTTTCCCTTTCCCCAACCCCAGGGAGTCAGCCAGTACAGGCCATGATTGCACAGGAATTAGATTATGAAACAAGGAAGAAATGCAGCTCAGCTTGAACTCCTTCAACTCCGAGTCTGTCTCCTCTCCTTCAGTTTGGATCTTCTCCCATTGTACCATCACAGTGAAATCTATCTCTTCCCTTTGAAAAGGTGGGCCAAGAAATTTTGGTGACATAGTATGGGAATGCTATTACAACTTAGGAGAAAATACTCTGCACCAATAAGTATTTTAAGTGAAGAAATGCATAAAGAAATGATATAGAAATAGATGCTTCAAGAACTAAAATTGATTCCTATTTTATACACATACATGGGTAAACACATGTGTTTTGTACAAATGTAAACATATACACATGTATGCACATTATAGGTATCATATATAGTTAATGGTAGTTTTTTACATTTCATTTGGTGAAGAACACTCTTAAGTATATCCATAATTCTCCAATAACTGCCAATGGTGTGTCACTTTCTGAAATATTAATTGTGTAAACTTTAACATAAGATTTGTTAGTGGTTATATTAGTGAAACATTCAAACCATCAATATATATATATATATATATATATATATATATTTTTGTTCCGATTTTCTGCATGGAACCTTCTGGAAACCCTGAAATTTTACCACCCAGTAAGCTGTTCCCAGCTGCGCTTTCTCCGAAACCAGCACTGCCCTGGATGGATATCAATCAGAAGTCCAGATCCCATGTGACATCGGGAAGATGTCCTCCCTGGTAATTGTGTCTTTTCTTGCTCCCTGAGTGTCCTATAAACTCAGCAAGCTTAAATCGGGGCTAAGTGATGCTTTTGTTCTGTGTGAGCCGCTATGGATGCTTCAGAAATGCCTTCAGCCATGATAATGTCAATACTGTCCTAATTCACTGTTGATCAAATCTTAAAAAGTCAGGGTTAGTCTGACAGCCATAAAGATGTAGCATTCTCCTACCATACAATAAAAACAGTCAGAAATCGGTCACATATAAAGTAGAAATCAAGAAATATAATAGTTTTGGAACACAAATCCCCAAAGCCAGTGTAACATTTATCTG